AATGTTCAAATAAAATGTTTTAATGGCGTACTTAAAACAAGTTATTGTGTGCATAGTTCAATATTTTCTTCTCAGATTAAAGAGCAAGTCACCCTCAAATAAACTTTTTTTGCTGATAAAGTATTTAAATGATTGTCTAATTGTGCTGTAGACACGTGTAGTCAACAATTTGGCACTTTAGTGCAAATATTCTTCCTAAAATGATCAAGTGTCGCTCTGCATTCAGGTAAAAGCTCAGCACTGCATTTTAATTTAAATCTGCCATTCTTATTGGCTAAGATGTACTGTATGACGTTAGCTGGTACATAATGATGTAACAATGTTGTTGTGAGCCTGTGTGTGTGTGTGTGTGTGTGTGTGTGTGTGTGTGTGTGTGTGTGTGTGTGTGTGTGTGTGTGTGTGTGTGTGTGTGCGTGCGTGCGTGCGTGCCGCGCGTGTGTGTGTGATTGTTAGTGACTCTCACTCTGCCTGGCAACAAAATTTGTCACATTTTTCAAACAGGAAGTGGGAGTGGAGTAAGATTCTGGTAGGGGTGACTCGTTATTTAACTTTTAGGGAAAATTAAAAATAAACTTGTTGCACATTCCAGAACTATGTTAAAAAACTAAAATGCTGTGCAAAAAGAACTTTTTTTTGTCTGAAAATGTTTTCCACTGTTAAAGTGGCAGTGTGTAGTTTTTACCATTATTCCCTGGAAAAATCCATCAAAATATTGTTGTAAATTAATTCAATAATGGCCAGTTGTTGAAAACTGTTGGAGGTTACATAACATATAACCATAAAAATATGTTTTAAATATATTGGAGCGGGTCTAAGGGTGTTTCTCAATGTCAAGGTGCCTGGCCTTGCGAGACGATGTCTAGCTAGGCCAGGCACCTTGCTTGCGAGGACGCTGTCCTTCCTTGGTCAAAGAAAACGGTGAAATGGAACAGGCTTGCATCACGTGACTGTGCCTTCCACGGCGGTCATTTAACATCACGTGACACGGGAGATAAGGTTATATTTTATAGGTATAAGTTTCAATATAAATATATTACGAGCCTATATAACGAGCCTTTTTAAACTGTGTATATATTTGTTAAATTAAATATGTAAGCAAGTTACTACCTGCTAGCCAACAAAGCTACAACTACTAAGCAACTAACCAATCATAGAAAACTTAGAAAATATATTTTGAATTAGTTTGACTCATATTTAAGTTTGAAATTTGCCCCTGAAGTAGCTGCCGGCTTCTGATCCGCCATCCTTTGGAAATACCGTGGTGTAATCTGGGAAATGTTTTACTAAGGCTAGGCTTCAAGACGCCTCCCATGTGTCATTGCTCAGCTAGCTAAACAGCTAACAAACGGAGAGCACACGCCTCGCTAGAACATGAACATTGGAACATGCCTTGGCGGTTCCTGATGACGTATCTCCTAGGCAACCGGGGCAGGACCAAGACATCAAGGCGAGGTTCCTTGGCAATGAGAAACACCCTAAGTCTCTGGGTGATGCCATATTGGTTGCCATGTTTCCTTCTATGGAAGCCCGTTAGGACAAAATGCATTCACTGACTTGTAACAAATGGTTACAAAACTTTCACCATTAATAAACGTTGTTTTACACATTTACCTCTTCACTCATTGTCAGTGATGAAAGGGAATCTGATGAGCTTGTTATTCTGCTGGAGGTTGCACTCCCAGGGATTTTTGACCCTAATGGCCATTCGTTAGTAAGGTCTTACACAAAAATAGTGCTTTCTTGCAATCATTTAGGTATCTACTGTTTCCTATCCCCAGGGAAAATACACACTGTAACTTTAACATGCAATTATCAGGTCAGAGTGATTCCTTCCTTTGCAATCCACTGGATCAAAAATGTTCTAGCAAATCTGTGCCCTAGAAATGACCTTTTAACAGAGAACATGTAAGTTATTTTCTTGGTTTTGGTCTGCAATCTTCTTGCCACACAACAATAAACAGTGCGCACTATTTCTTCAAATGCCAGTGGGACAAACAGCAAGAAGGTAGTATGGATTTTCATCCTATAATTGCTTTAGGGATGCATGCTATGCGTACGTGTATGCAACTAATTTATTTTATTTTGCTTCTTTCTCCTGACAACATGCGGAAGTGGCCAATGCAAATTGAAAATAAGAGAAGTCGAGGAAAAGGCTTTTGTTGCCCTGGGATATTTATCCATGGAAATGTTGCATTGGAGATACTGTGTGATCCCTTTTTAACTCTGACAGAGAATAAGCATGAATGCTATGGAAAATAGAAGTTGTAATCACATACTGCTTAAGGCAAATATGTGGAGCTCTGAAGAAATAAAAAAAGAGCTATTGCTTCCTGGAACATGCCTTTGTGAAAAACTGAAAAGAAACTAGCGTTACACTTCAAATAATCAGACAGAGTACCGTAGGGACCTTTGCAACCTGGCCTTAATGCTGCTTAATCTCTAACGCTGAAAGGAAACAAACTGCACACAGCAGGAGGAAGTCTATGTGTACTCAGTATTATAGTACAGGATGTGGATTTGGACCAAATCCATGGACAATAAATGAACTATACTGTGCACTTTGTTGTACAATGTATTTGATATTTTACTATTCATGGGTAATTAAGCTGAGATGTAGAAGGACTTAGTTATACTATTTAACCCTTACCCAACGTTTAAATTTTCTAACGTTAAAGTCATTAGAGCACAAAAAAATGCACTTAGAAAGCTTCCTTTAGAAATATTATATAATATTTCATAAGTCCCAATTTTTTTACATGAATTTCATCCTTGGCTTCAGCCCTAACAAAATATAATAAAATATGTGTGTGTTTCTCAGATTTAACCCCTTCATTGCTAGGTTTATTAGCAAAACCCGAAGTTTGAAAACTGTACAAAAAATGAAAAAATCAAATCATTTTTTGTGTGTTATGTCCAGATTAACTTTTTTGTGGGTAAGTTGTCACAGCCTTGGAGTGTCACAAATAGGCATAAAAATATTTTTTGCTCACTTTGTAGTTTTTGTGTAATGTCACATTTTCTAAAATACTCACGTTAAAGTCATTAGAGCACAAAAAAATGCACTTAGAAAGCTTCCCATAGAAATATTATATAATATTTCATAAGTCCCAATTTTTTTACATGAATTTCATCCTTGGCTTCAGCCCTAACAAAATATAATAAAATATGTGTGTGTTTCTCAGATTTAACCCCTTCATTGCTAGGTTTATTAGCAAAACCCAAAGTTTGAAAACTGTACAAAAAATGAAAAAATCAAATCATTTTTTGTGTGTTATGTCCAGATTACCTTTTTTGTGGGTAAGTTGTCACAGCCTTGGAGTGTCACAAATAGGCATAAAAATATTTTTTGCTCACTTTGTAGTTTTTGTGTAATGTCACATTTTCTAAAATACTCACGTTAAAGTCATTAGAGCACAAAAAAATGCACTTAGAAAGCTTCCCATAGAAATATTATATAATATTTCATAAGTCCCAATTTTTTTACATGAATTTCATCCTTGGCTTCAGCCCTAACAAAATATAATAAAATATGTGTGTGTTTCTCAGATTTAACCCCTTCATTGCTAGGTTTATTAGCAAAACCCAAAGTTTGAAAACTGTACAAAAAATGAAAAAATCAAATCATTTTTTGTGTGTTATGTCCAGATTACCTTTTTTGTGGGTAAGTTGTCACAGCCTTGGAGTGTCACAAATAGGCATAAAAATATTTTTTGCTCACTTTGTAGTTTTTGTGTAATGTCACATTTTCTAAAATACTCACGTTAAAGTCATTAGAGCACAAAAAAATGCACTTAGAAAGCTTCCCATAGAAATATTATATAATATTTCATAAGTCCCAATTTTTTTACATGAATTTCATCCTTGGCTTCAGCCCTAACAAAATATAATAAAATATGTGTGTGTTTCTCAGATTTAACCCCTTCATTGCTAGGTTTATTAGCAAAACCCAAAGTTTGAAAACTGTACAAAAAATGAAAAAATCAAATCATTTTTTGTGTGTTATGTCCAGATTACCTTTTTTGTGGGTAAGTTGTCACAGCCTTGGAGTGTCACAAATAGGCATAAAAATATTTTTTGCTCACTTTGTAGTTTTTGTGTAATGTCACATTTTCTAAAATACTCACGTTAAAGTCATTAGAGCACAAAAAAATGCACTTAGAAAGCTTCCCATAGAAATATTATATAATATTTCATAAGTCCCAATTTTTTTACATGAATTTCATCCTTGGCTTCAGCCCTAACAAAATATAATAAAATATGTGTGTGTTTCTCAGATTTAACCCCTTCATTGCTAGGTTTATTAGCAAAACCCAAAGTTTGAAAACTGTACAAAAAATGAAAAAATCAAATCATTTTTTGTGTGTTATGTCCAGATTAACTTTTTTGTGGGTAAGTTGTCACAGCCTTGGAGTGTCACAAATAGGCATAAAAATATTTTTTGTTCACTTTGTAGTTTTTGTGTAATGTCATATTTTCTAAAATACTCACGTTAAAGTCATTAGAGCACAAAAAAATGCACTTAGAAAGCTTCCCATAGAAATATTATATAATATTTCATAAGTCCCAATTTTTTTACATGAATTTCATCCTTGGCTTCAGCCCTAACAAAATATAATAAAATATGTGTGTGTTTCTCAGATTTAACCCCTTTATTGCTAGGTTTATTGGCAAAACCCGAAGTTTGAAAACTGTACAAAAAATGAAAAAATCAAATCATTTTTTGTGTGTTATGTCCAGATGACCTTTTTTGTGGGTAAGTTGTCACAGCCTTGGAGTGTCACAAATAGGCATAAAAATATTTTTTGCTCACTTTGTAGTTTTTGTGTAATGTCATATTTTCTAAAATACTCACGTTAAAGTCATTAGAGCACAAAAAAATGCACTTACAAAGATGACCAGTTGAACACTTTATTAAAGCACACGAACAAAGAAAAAGTGTGTGTGTGTGTGTGTGTGTGTGTGTGTGTGTGTGTGTGTGTGTGTGTGTGTGTGTGTGTGTGTGTGTGTGTGTGTGTGTGTGTGTGTGTGTGTGTGTGTGTGAGAGAGAGAGAGAGAGAGAGAGAGAGAGAGAGAAAGAGAGAGAAACACAGAGGGGAGTGAGCTAACAGCTGCAGGCTGAGCACACAACTGTTGAGTGCTCCTTGCACACAGCCTGTCCACATGCATGGCAAAAGCGTGCATGCACGCTCCTCTTCCCTCTGCAAAGGTGGCATCTTTTCTTTGTCTGCTCCTGGGCTGGACCTGGCTCCACTTGCTGCTGCACCTCCAACAGAGCTGCAGCGCTGCTGGACCGCGGCAAGCGAGTGCGCCTCGCCTGGGCTGGTCTCACCATGGAGGTCCCAAGCTCCTGCAAGAACAGCCTTCGACGGATGCTCCTCTTCTGTTGGTTCCAGGCCGGTTCCACAGACAGCCACAGGACCAGGGCATTGTAGGCGCTCACATCTAACATGTTGCAGAAGAGCGACATGGGCCAACGTCTGGTCTTGCGGCGGCAGCTGTATGTTGCAACGAGCTGGAATAAAAATAAATGAATAAATAAATTACATATGCAATTAGGTTGGTGAATTATAATAAAACAAAATAAAATAAATAAATTACCTTGTCCAAGTTGTCAACTGCCCCTTTGCAGCGGTTGTAATCGATGATTACGGTCGGCTTCTGCTGCGGTCCCTCCTGGATCTGAACCTGATGGTGTTTGGTGCTGAGGAGCAGAACGTTCCGCCGGCGCTTTGGAATGTAGCTCACCGCGGTGGCGGTGGAGGTGAAGCCGAACAGGGAGGACAGAACCGCTCTGCTTTTCATCTGGAGCAGCTGTGGGGGCAACTCTGGCTTGTTGCGCCTAACTGTTCCCACAAGACAGATTTTTTTTTTTAGCAGCTCCTCTCCAAGAACCAGCGAGGTGAAAAAATTGTCCGTGGTGACAGTGCGGCCGCTCAGACCCTCCGTGAGTTCCAGCACCACCCGCTTCCCTTGCCCCCTTTCTGCCGGGGCGTCTCGAGTCGTCTTGCCCAGATAGGGAATAATCCCCCAGGCATAAGAAGTGGCCACATCGCACACCACCCACAGCTTGATGCCATATTTTGCCGGTTTTGAGGGCATGTACTGCTTGAAGTTGCAGCGACCTCTGAATCCGACGAGCTGTTCATCAACGCAGACATCTTCACCGGGGTTGTAGGCGAGAGGGAGCCGGGCCGCCCAGAGGTCCCACACTTCCCGCAGGGGAGCGAGCTTGTCCTGCTGCACCAACCGGCGGGCTGCCCTGGTCAAGCGGTCATCAAAGCGCAATGTTGCAGTCAGCATGTGGAACCTTCCCAAACTCATCGTGGCTCTGAATATCGGCCTCCCCGTTTCCTCCCCCCAGAGGCTGGCAGATGATTCCCCACGGGAACGGTGCACACCAGCGAGGATGAGCAACCCAAACAATGCCCGGAGTTCCACGCGGTCAACGTCTGTCCAATCGTCATATTTTCTTCTTCCCTCTATATTGGTGTATTTTATTATTACATCTAGGATTGTTGTAGTTAAAAAAAAATCGAAGCTGTCCTCAATAGTTTGGATGTAGCTGACAGCGAGGCGGGTGATCCCACAATGGCGGACGTCTGGAGCCCGAAAGGGGATCCTGGTGTCGGGTGTCGGGGACCAGGCGATCCCGCTCTTTGATTGCCACAAAGGATGGTCCCATCTCTCCTCTGCAGCAACCACCTCCTCATCTGAACCTTCTTCCATTTCTTCCCCTGAATCAGGCCCTGGGGTAAAGGCCTGATCTTCAGCCTCTTCATCCGAACAAGAGCTGTCATCCGTGGATGAGGATGAGGCTGACTCTCCCTCTTCCTCAAGCTGCTGAAACACCTCCAGGGCTTCATTCACATTGAATCTTCTTCTCATGGTTGCGGTTCAAAGAAATGAATCCTGATCTGAGTCTCATATATGTACTTTTAGTCAATTGGTGCACCTGTGTAAGCTGCCCCTACTGAATGTAAACAAAATTCGATTCTGCAGGAATTTGTTTTGAAAAACAAATGTATGCCTTTGAAGTTTTTCAGCCTTCATCTTAGCTTTCATCCATGCAAATGCTTTGTACTTATTGAAATAACATTTTGCAAAAGTAAAATTGTGAATGAGTATCTGAAATTTAGCAGAAAATCCTTTGATTTTTGATATATAGCATGCCTTTGATGAATATTCATGAAGTCAACAGAGTGTGAGAACCTGTGCCCCCCCCCCTACACTCCCATGGCCCACACCTGCTCAACCACTCCAGATAATGATCACAGATCTGTCCTTTGAAGATCTGTAAAGTGCTTTGATACCTACATACACGCATGCCTGAACAATCACACACAAAGGAACACATGTCAAAATGCTATTTTGCAGAATAAGCTAATTTTGTACATTCAGTCAGGCTTATTTTTTGAAAGAACACTGAAAAAGCACAATTACCAAAAATTCAGAACACACACATGCAAACTATTGTATGGCATCTCTAAATAACACACAAACCATTTTTTTGCAAAATATGTATTATAATGGGCAGTCAGAGGTAAAGAAATACAGCTAAATCATTCAGTTTAAATGCTGGGTCAGCCATTGCCCTGCTATATATGGAGAAAGTATGCCATGTAGTGAAAAACAGTAAAAACTGCTTCTTACATTTGTGATGAGACTGTAAACACGGGCACAATCATAATTTTTTAAAATTATGCCAATATTTATGCTAATTAAAAATATATGATTTACATGAAAGTCAATGGCACAAAAAAATGCTTCAATGTGCTTAACTGTACAAAATGATTTCCACGTTTTAATAAAGTAGGTTGAATATTTTTTCAAACTTTTTTTTGTAATTCCTTCCAAAATACACATCCTCCATAAAAATTAGATAAATTGCATTAACATAGCCAAAGTTATTCACAAAAATACACGTGTCAGCACAAAAAAATGCTCTAATGTGAGGTAAGGGTTAATGTTAACAAAGCTGTGCATGGTTAATGCTTGAGTACGTCTGCTGCTACAGTTATTTCATGAACTAATTATAACATCAACGACGCATCATAACCCTTTATTTTGCACCTTTCTTTGAAAATGTGCTATCAATAAAAATATACTATGAACAGATATGCATGCAGGAACAAACCTTGCACTCCCCTCTGTATAGTATTTTGGCTCCTTCAAAAACACTACAGTCACCTTAATCTGAGCTTTTAGACTAGCTGTTTTACAAGATTAATTTGGTTCATCATACACAAATGGGTTTACGGAACTAAGAGCTTATTCTGCATTCTACAGATATCAGCGTGTCTCTGCATGTTCTAGCAGACCATCCAGTTCATTGGGTCGTAAACAGGGTGTAGGAGGTGACTGATGACCATCATCACAACTCTTTCAGTTCTTCATAACACTCAATAACACACACACACACACACACACACACACACACACACACACACACACACACACACACATAATCGCGTGTGTGTATGTGTGTGTGGGAAACTTTGTGTGTGTGTGAATATATATATATATATATATATATATATATATATATATATATATATATATATATATATATATATATATATACTCCCCTTTTTCGGGAGTGATCCTTTGATCCTCAGATTTTGCTTCATGTGAATATGAACACATATGACAAACAATATATTTGATATAAATCGTGCTAAAACTATCAAAGTGAGAAATAAGCTTACCAACGTCTTGTATGTTTTCTATAGCCAAGAAATCTAGACAGACAGTAGCCAAAGCATAATGATTTAGTTCTGCATGTGGGTCTAGCCATGCTCCATGTAAGCCTCAGCAGGTCTACCAGTGGCCTAAGCAGTACTGTGGTATGCCAATTACAGTGGCCCATTTAAAAACAGCTTTGGCATCAACTTTGGACTAGTTAGACATGGCCTTTCATATGAGCCAAGAGCAGATATAGGTATTTGCATGCTTTAATTAGAAAAATGATGTGTTTGTGTCTTCTTCAACAGTGTATGGTGGACTGCCCTGTTCACTGACATCCGTAGATGTGAGTATGTCACTCTGTTTGGTGTCCAATAGCACGTGGAGACAGTTTAAAAGACAACCGCAGATCTTGCCCCACGACCTATTGGTTAGACTCAGACTATATGTATATAGGACGGCTTGCCAGGCTATGTTTTCCACCCATTTTCATAAAACTGTTGCAATTTATGTTGATATGACCTCGCCCTATTAGGATTCAGAATGGCTAACATAAAGAGTTTCACATAACACCTTCCGCAGAGCTCTCAGATTATGCAAAACAAATTAAACAGGATTCAGCACAACTAAAATTTAATGTTAAAACTAACAGAATCATAAAAATAGTCACAACACAGGCCAAGCTTCACACGCAGTCAAACGCCTCATTTACACCAAGTGCTGAAAAGACCAAAAAACATTTAATCCCCCAGCGAGAGCAGCCATCATCGGTGCTCATCTACTGTACCGTCACAGGTGGGAGGGAGATCTTGGGAGAAGCAAAGAGCACATTGACTCCTCCAGCTGATGACCTCACCAGGCTGAAGTCCACAAATCCGAAGGCGGGGGGGGGGGGGGGGGGGGGGGGGGGTCCACAGCATCTGTCTGCATTCCTTCGTGGGGGTTTTAGTTGCTTGCAGCTCTAGGCTACCAGGGCGTCAGATTCAGATAACAAGACTTTGTTTGGGTCAGGCTGAGATAATTTTCCTCTCTGCCTTCATTCTTTAAACTGATCATTTCCAGTCCTTCAGTGAAGCCAATTTTGGTTTTTTTAACTTGTCCATAACGTCCGGTGACTCTCTCCGAGATGACATCCATTTTGCGCACTAACACCGTTGTCGGTACAAGATCTGCTCAGGAGCAAGATCGGCTCGGGGCCCGTCGACTGCCGATGACGTCAAACTAGTTGATTGGCTGAACATGAACCTTACGGAAGTTACGTAATCACGTTACGTTGTTATCACTTTACGTTGGTCCAGGCAAATCTTTCTGTTGGAAAGATGGACAACTTTTACAAAGAAATCCATCATTACCTCTTTGAAAATACACTTTTAGCATAGAGCTGCATGTATATTAGGGCTGAACGATTAACTGCATGTGCAATTAAATTGCGATGTGACAAAAGGAGATTTTCTAATCGCAAAGGCTGCAATTTGGCAGCAAGTGGTTAGCGCAATGCTAATATACATGGAAAAACCCATAGGAATGCTAATGCTAATATCACCGATTACATTATTACAAATTATGAATTAGAAACGTGCCAAATGATTACATTTGGAGTCTAATAGAAAGTAAAACTACCATCAATCAAATAAGTACAGACAGGTATTTTAGTAAAGCCAGAAAACTTTTAACTCCAGAGTTTTGGCTAGCAGCTATGAGCGTAACTGAACTACGCATGGACAAGACGTCAAAAACTCTAAACACAAAATACTTCAATAAACGGGACACACTTGTTTCCTGCAAATACAATTTCACAGGTGTTGCTAATACCTATGATCCTTCAAGGGATGTGCTCAAAGAGGAGCTCAACGTTATGAATAAGATATAGTGTTTTATTTTACAAATACCATTATAAACACAAACTTACGCCGTAAGAAACATTATTTTAATAACGAAACTGCTAAATTCTTTCCAACAGTATAGATGTGTAGTGTATTTTGTCCGAGTGGGTTTGCCGTACTTTGACGTCATCGGCAGTCGAAGGACCCCGAGCCGATTTTGCACCCGAGCAGATCTTGTACCGACACCGGTATTGCAGCTAGAACATTGTCCAGCTTACGATTCACCTCAAGTAACGTCCCAGCCTGAGAAGTCTCCACACGGACGGTGCTTTCCGTGGGTGCGGATCGCCCTCCAATCGCTCCCATCCTCCCCAATTTCCAGAAAACCAGATATCCTCCCACTCCAATCAGGAGAAATCCAGTGATCATCAGGTTGAATATCCACATGTCTGCGATGTCCTCAATGGACAGCTGGGAGAGGCATATGATCTTCCACTCCTTCCAGGAATCCAACATATATCCCACCGGGTGTGTCCCCTGTGGACATGTGGGAGCCCCCTGCTCCCGTTCTCATTGTTGAAAAAATTGTATCGATCGCATTGAATGACCAGTTTATCAAATCCATGATTAGTAAAAAATAGAGTTTTTCAGAAGAAATGCAGAGAAGCGCTCTGTGGGCAAACAGGACAACGAGCCTTGGGAAAAAAAAGATAAGGGAGCGAAAGAGAAAAGTGTCTGTACTCCTCGAGTGCCAGAAGAGACGATACGCTATATATCAAAATACAATCCATGCAGGGCCGGCTCTAGGTAATTTGGTGCCCAAGGCGAGACTGCCCATGTGCCCACCCCCCACCCCCGTGCCTGCATGCCTCTCACTCAAACCCAAGTCCACCCACCCACCACACGTTGGAAACAGCAACTCCATAGTTATTCCTTAGTTACTAATTTTTTATTTTAAATATTCACACAGCAACTCTTTAAAGTCAACAGCCTGAAGATTAAATGTAAGCTTGAAAGATAAGTAACCTGAGAATATTACAATAACCAACAACTCAAAATGTTGTGCAAATGTCATGGGGGGGGGGGGATGCAAAATCAACAGCAGCATTAAACTGTGCAATCAAAAGCAAAACTCAAATATCAGTGTCATCATAAAGAAAGTTCTACTTTCCATTTTGTTCAACTGCTGTGGCCAGTCAGCAGGATCCATGGGGCCAGCAGCTCCTACATGTTCACAGACATCTGTTGAAGCTGATGATGGTGTCTCTTCAGGCTGTTGGATTGGAGCACTGAGTCTGCTGGTGTTGGGTTCTTCTGTGAGAAAATAAACACACACACACACACACACCTAGCGTTCTTCTGATATGAAAATATTAAATTCATATTGTATGCGTACTTAAAACTTGAAACAAAGTTCATAAAAAGGCTGCAATCATACTCCAAAAAACGGTAAAAAATCTGACATTCTTCATCATCACAGTGAGACTCAACAGGTGTAGAACAGTCCCCCCCCCCCCCCCCCCCATGGTGTCAACAGGTTCCTGTGTGGCTGCAGATATTGTCTCACTGCATCTGGACACGACGATTCAAAAGTAAAATGTATTGCTTAAAGTTACGAGATACTGTATTATGAATGTAAACAGCTAGCGAGGGTCCGTCCGTGGACCGTGTGTGGCAGGAGAGGCAGTTAGCTACAATGGTAACGCAAAAAGTTCCTTTGCCAAATTTATAAAGTCTACATACCTCTGCTTTGGGCCAGTTTTTTTTCTTCCTCCTTCGCTTCTAGAATGCTGATCCCGATGGCTTAGGTGTTCTTTTCATCGTAAAATATCAAGTTTAAACGCGACGACAACAGGATGTCCTTCTACAGCGCTGCCCACTCACGTGATCTACGGCACCCCTGACGGTCAAATGCATCGGAGCGGTGGCCCAAGCGGGAGCTCGTCATGCAGCCAGATCATTAGAATTTAAAAATTGATGTTTTAATTTCATGTCATTTCAGAGGGGAATTTTGAGTATGTAGAGAGTGCATTTCATTTTCGTCTTCGTCTTCGTCTTCCTCCGCTTATCCGGGTCCGGGTCGCGGGGGCAGCATCCCAATTAGGGAGCTCCAGGCCGTCCTCTCCCCGGCCTTGTCCACCAGCTCCTCCGGCAGGACCCCAAGGCGTTCCCGGACCAGATTGGAGATGTAACCTCTCCAACGTGTCCTGGGTCGACCCGGGGGCCTCCTGCCGGCAGGACATGCCCGAAACACCTCCCCGGGGAGGCGTCCAGGAGGCATCCTGACCAGATGCCCAAACCACCTCAACTGGCTCCTTTCGATCCGGAGGAGCAGCGGTTCTACTCCGAGTCCCTCCCGAATGTCCGAGCTCCTCACCCTATCTCTAAGGCTGAGCCCGGCCACCCTACGGAGGAAACTCATTTCGGCCGCTTGTATCCGCGATCTCGTTCTTT